TTAACCGAGTGGCGGACACTGGGCGGGGGAGGGGGGTGAATGTAAATCTTTAAATGATACCTGAATAACTGTGTAAGAAAGCGGTAACTTACAAAAATTTTCCGACCATGGATAATATATCAATACATACAGTATTGCATTAAATTTAGGGCAAGAAAGAGATTTCACTATAATATTTCCAGCTTCTAAATGTAGTCATATGTTGGAACCTAATTTGCCCCGTCCCCCCTTTTTTCGCAAAGTGGCCGCCACTGGGTCGAGCCGCAATATCCTACTTTGTTTGTTTTAGCCGGTCTACTTTTATGCCAATTACACATCACAGAGCTTGAGAAGTGTAGGAGAAGCATTAATGTGTTAAGCAGACTATACGCATATTCTCTTGTAGACGGTTTTAGCTGGCGTGCTCTCAACTTTGTTATTTTACTTTATCTAATACAAGGTAATTTTACTAAATGGGGAGCATTGGGTGTCAATGGGTTAAGCAGACGTCCTGCTCATGTCTCTGGTGAAACCATTTAGCCATAACGCACCCTACTTTGATGCCAGAATAGTTAATATTATAAGGGGAATTGTTTGGAATTGTGATTGTTTAATTATTAATACTACATTAATTATCTTGACCCAATGCCTCAAATAAGGAGTCAACTAATTGCATACAGTTTCTCGAAGAATGAAGCAGACTCTTTTTTCTTAACAATAACATTTTTAAATGGAGGGAAACAAGATAGTTGTAAATATAACATAATGTATTATAAATAGTTTTAATTATAAAATATTACTTGACAGAGCAGCGGAGAGCAGAGCAGAGCTGAGCTAAGCTGAGCTGAGCTGAGCTGAGCTGAGCAGAGCTGAGCAGAGCAGAGCCAGAGCAGAGCAGAGCAGAGCAGAAGTGTGCTCGGATACAACTAACTGCACAATATGGCAAGGAGACCCTTATCTCTTTATCTAATATATCCCAACACCACCTAACAAACTGCCTGTAAGCAACATGTATTCGTAAAAATAAAATAAAGAATTGCATAATTATAATACGCGAAACTCTTCAAAATTGCACGTTCGTTATAAAAGGACGAACTATCGTGTTCACACTGTTTTTAACAATAAAATTTCCATATGGAATTGTCTTGATGAAGAAATTGAAAATCAAAAATCGTATTTTTCCTTTAAGAAAAAAGCAAAATTAAATTACGTGTTAATATAAATATTGTCAGCTAAAACATATATGATATATATTGAACCAATTTAGATTTATGTATTTTATTTTATTCAAAACAATATAGGGGCCTTATATCAAAAGTCCAACAGAATTTCAAAAGTCGCTAGCTCCTTTATATTATTGTATTTTAACTATATTCCCATTGTAAATATTTTTTGTGAGCAAATATATTCTATTCTATCCTTTTTTGTGCTCACGCCCTTCATGTGCCTTTATGCTATAATGTTGTCTATAATCGCTCCAAGCAACCCGCAAGACCCAGTAATTCAGACATAAATGCTGAAATGCAGGTTTATCAGTATTACATTCAGGGACGGTTATCTTCTCAATTTGTGCTGCTTCTTGGTATAAAGAAACACAAGATGGGATCTCTTGGCAACGGATACTTTCCTCTTCCCTATCCATTATTTGGCAGTGATTACAAAGGCACCTACATGTATAAAGTTCCCATTTAATCGTAAAAACCAAGTTAATTTGGGCTAAAGCATAGCAGTTGAATTTACGATTTTCAGCCGTAATTGGTTAATTGAAAACTTTAATAATTATAAGTACAAATAATAATGTATAATAACGTCGCCCATAATAACGTGCAAACAATTAAAGCACTAATAACCCTAGTTGTCCATGTTGCTGAAAAAGCTTAACCTAGCTACATATCTACAAGATAAATAATAGAAGCAAATTTAGTAAATAATTACCAGTTCGTGTCCTGAAGTCTGGTGGTTTTGTCAGAACTGGACGAAGATTCCGAAGCCATTTCTTCTGAAACTACATGGTCACCACTCGAATCGGTTTCAACCGGTTCAAAAGCGTAAGGTTGAATCATGTTCGCTATAACTCGACCCTCTGCTTCCAGAACCATCGCTCGAAGATTCGTTTGAGAGATCAATATCCATTTCTCTTGAGTATTTACAGTATTTCTCTTAAATTTATAAATACTCTTTCTTTTTTGTTTACATGTATACAAGAAAATTAAAATACTAAAGCCAGTCTGCCCGTGAAAATCCAACCGTGCAATGACGTCACAAGGTAAAACCGCTGCGTGATCGCAACTTCGCTTTGATGTACAAAATTTTAACATACTATGACCTATTTTGAATATAGCTTTTTACACCAATCCAATACTACACCACAAACTCATATTTAGTTAATTTATTGAATAATATATTATGGTTCGCTGTACCAGATGCCCTAGACAAGTACAAAAAGAGGCCACGGGTAATAAATTTATTATCGATTGAGTTTCTGAGATTATCACTCATTTCTAAAAATGTCCAACTGTGTGGAATACCCTTTCGTGAAGCCAAACTGATATGGAAATAAAATTTCGTGCTTTTCAATCAATGAAGTCAGTTGATCCGATATAATCTTTTCAAGTATTTTACTGAAAGGTGACAATAGTGCAATAGACCTATCATTTGTTGGCTGTTAAGCCATTCTTATATACAGGTATTACCCTAGAGACCTTTAATATGTTGGGGACAACTCCTTGGATAATCGATTGATTGTAATTACAGGAGAAGGGTTTCCACAATATCTAACGAAGCTTTCCTTAAGTCCAGATTAGAAAAAAAGATATGCATATGCATGTAATTTTCATCAATTGGTGAGAAATATAGGTTATCAAATAAAGGATGATGTGATATCAGTTTTATCGCTGCCGAGAGCGATAAAACTGATATCACCGAATACCGAGTACGATAACCTATTTATTATATACTTGTACCTTTATCAGGATTAGAAACCCAAAAGTAGCAGTTTTGAAAAAATAGGATCATTTTAAAATTCAAAAAATTTCATTATTTACTGAACAAATATGATTTTAGAAAATAAGTAGACCATTAATATTATAAATAATATACAATATAAGTCTTTTATTTTGTATTATCGTTCGTGCTTCCTTCGATAAAACTGTCGACATCAACCAACAGGATCCTCGAGTCGGCCATCTTTGTTTTGACAAGGGATGACAAGGCGCGACAAAAAACGCAGCATGTGCTCGCTCCACCTTTGAATTTACTATATAAGTAAATTCTCAAACACGTCCGAATTTATCATTATCATCAATTCGCGGCACATTTTGAATTTATCATAATGATAAATTCGCGGCCTCTAATCCCTAACACTAACCCTAATCCTAACCCAAACCACTAACCCCTAACCCCTAACCACTTACCCTAATCCAAATTTTTAAATTTTTTTGAAAATCTAACTTTTTTTCTTTCTAAAACTTTTTTAAACTATTTTTTTGAGAATTATGAAAATAAATTGATCTATATAATTTTTGGTTTTTCTGTTATCGATGTAAATAAGCCTAGAAATCCAAGGTTCAGCAAGTTGTTGTTCCATTTTAGACAAAGACGCTTTTTTAGTGGCGCGTGTTGATGATTGCACTCTTTGATTAATCCACGAACTTCTATGTACCAGATGAATGAAGTGCGCATGTTTTAATGCTAATTTCCTTGTAATAATCCAAGTCAACAACTTCCAACACAACGTTCACAGGAATGGAGGGGAAAATATTAACGTCTACAATTAACATAATGAACGATCACATTTTTTATGTTGCTTGCGATATCCCAGTGTGTCCGCAACATGCTCACACTCCAAGGAGTCTCACTATAGATGCGTCGTTCAAAGTAAAATTAACTTTTTTTTTCGTTCATTTTCTTTCAACCACAAATTTCGTAATAAAATCGAAAAAAATATCAGAAGAATAGTAAATCATTTCACGAGTATTTTCGTTTACACTTTATTATCAACAAGTACCACAATGGAATCCTGTTAATTCCACAACTACTTTTTGTTTTGACAGTAAAAGACTTTATAAATTTGTTCAATCCACAACGAAGAATGTTTCAATTCCGCTATTTCCCATTCCCGGAATCATTTTCACCCACAGGGAGACATAGGAATTGCGAATTGTTAAGAGGATCTAAACATTCCAATGGTTCAACTATGCAGTCAAGACAGTCGCTGTTGTCGCCACATGGCATCATGTAATCTAGGCAATTCATTTGAGCAAGGTTTCGAACTTTCCAGTGATCAGGAGTCACCTACAGAATAATAAGAACATTTTCAGAAATTATATAGGCTAGATATAGTCTGAATTTCAATCAATGATCTGACTTGACAAATATCATATTAGACACAATTAGCTTTTAATTAATAGGTCAAGATAATTAGATAAACAAGTGATCAACTCAAAATTAGCTTTAGCAAAAAGATATATTATACAGTTGCTATAACCTTTGCAACATATTTGGAAAGTTTATAATGCAATTGCTATTTTTGTTGTAATCTGATATGCCGAAATGGCGCCATACTGGAAAATGGTGTATCTAGTGTTTCTAATAAACTTCTTAGCGGGCTTGGTGACCCAAACTGTTGTCAAAAATCATTAAGGCCGGCCCGAAGAATTACGTGATTTCACACGTACGTATATACGAACCGGGAAACGTATAAATAGGTACTGAAACTAATGAAGTCCAAACTATCTCAATAAATATTACCAATTATAGATGGCACAGAAACTTCGAAGAATTGCTGAAAAAAGGGAGCAGAAGAACGTACATTTTACGAGTGGGAAAATATTCTGCTTAGTTCTAAGCAGTTAGAACTTCCTGTTCACGGCTTAGTATAATGTCATTATTTGGCTTTGGAATTTAGCTCTGGGACGGAAGAAGTATCTCATACTAGGCCTAATTACATTGGTCCGAACGACAAGTTCATCGATCATGCCCAATGCGTATATAGCAGAAATGTCACTTTTCAAAAATGTAATGTCTGAGAGAGAGATAAAATTAATTAAGTTGTCGACGAAAATATTAAACAATAACAACAATGTGTATAAGCTAAACCTTTAACCCAACAAGTTAATTAAGTCGATCTTTAAGACAAAGCGGGAAAGATTTTGAGCTGCTTCTAGCATGAACTAAAATATTTAATAATTCATTTGTAGCAAGATATAGGTGCCTACCTTAACACTTCTTAGCACTATATTTTATATACATATATATATATATATATATATATATATATATATATATATATATATATATATATATATATATATATATAT